GGAGGGAGGGAGGGAATTGAAGAAAAAATAGCATACTAGCTATAATTCTCATAGACAGATGACCATCATTGGCCCATAAGACAAAGACTTTTCCCTGCATAAGGAGAACTGGCCCTTTTCCCAGCTTGCATTTCTTTATAGAGTCAGCCTAAGTCATGCCAAAGCATCCACACTTGGATAGCTGGAGCTATTGTGAGGATAGAAAGACCAGAAGAGGGTTAACTAAAGAACCATCTCCAGAAAGTTATCTTTGAAAGTGACATCCCATTACACAGCTTAAAATTACATGAGAAAATGGTTATTATTAAATAAAACAAATAGAATAAAAAATTTAAATTGGGGGGAAAGCGCAAAGATGAATGATATTTTATGATTCTACATTTGTCACCTTTCTATAATTCATTATTATAAATAAAGGCTAGGTCAGAACTACCGACAAGCCAGGCATGATAGCACAGGATAAAACCCAGCATCTGAGAGGTGAGAGCAGGAGTGCAAGTTCAAAGCCAGCATTAGAGTATACAGCAAGACCCTCAAAAAGAAAAAAAGAAAAAAGACTGCAAACAAAGCATACATTACTGAACTATTTCTACGTTAACTCCTAGAAGTAAAACAAAATAAGTACTGGATCAGACTGAGGGTCAGCCATAACTCAAACCTTTTGAAAAAGAAAATCATGAAGCAATGATTCCAAGGACCATGAAAAAGTCTGTAAACCTCTATTTCTTTAAAAAAAAATAAGCCCAACATGGGCAAACTTTGATTACAGGAAAGTAAGGTGATGCTCAAGTTGCCAGTATGACAAGAAAAAGAAGTCCCTAAGTCCAGAAGCTACCTTGCTGCCACATACCACACTATCCTACATCAGCTACAGCCCAACCAAAATTCTCCCCCTAAAAATTCCAACTCTGCTGGCTGCTTACTCATGATACATGCTTGCATTTTTCACATATTTCTAACTTACTATATCAAAAATGAAACTCTTCACCTTCCTCACATACATATTCCTTACACTGTCTTTTGCATCTTAGTTGATGGAAACTCTCTCCTTACTACATTGTTCAGAACAAAAACCTTGAAGCAGCTCTTGATTCCTTTTGTGACCCCCCCCCACACTTCTAATATGTCAGCACTCCTAGGGGCTCCCTAAAACTATACATGGAACCTGTTTACTTCCCACTTTATCCTTTCCATTCTACACTATCATAGACTGTCAATCGAAACGTAGTTTTAAATTGTTGCACTGGCCTTCTGTTATCCTTTTCCTCCTGTATTGGAGATTAAACCCTGGGCCTTGAGCATGCTAGGCATGAAAGTGCTCTACTACTGGGCTATATCTTCCTTTTTCCTCAATTTTATTTTAACACAGAATCTTGCTAAGCTACTCCATTTGACGTTGAATTTGCAGTCCTTCTCCCTTACCCTCCTGAGTAGCTAGACTTAGAGAAGTTGACAACACCTGGATGCTCTGTTTCTTCTGGCCTTGTCACTCCTGCACCCTTACTACAGGAGATTCCAAGGATATAGCTAAAATGATCCTCTTAAAAAGGTCTGATCGGGGGGCTGGAGAGGTAGCTCAGCGGTTAAGAGCACTTACTGCTCTTGCAGAAGACCCAAGTTCAATTCCCAACACCCACATGGTGGCTACGAACCATCCTTAACTTCAGTTCCAGGGGAATCCGAAGCCCTCTTCTGACCTCCACAGCATTGCATGACATGGGTGCACTCACATACATGCAGGCAATACACTCATACACATAAAATAAAAATAAATTAAAAAATTTTTTTTAAATGTCTGATTGGTCAACCCTGTGCTCACATCACCTCTTGATTACTCACACCCTCACTTCTGTTCCTATTACACTGACTTACTTTGACTTAAACCATGAGGCACATCCCTGCCCCAGGGGCTCCATACCTGCTCCTACCTCTTCTGGACATGTTCTTCCTCCAGGCTATTCATTAAGGCTCTAACCCTTTTAGGTCTCTACCAACTGTCACTTCCTCAGTGAAGACTTTTCTTGACCACAGTATTTTAAATTTTATTCCTCTAATACTCTCTTTTCTCCTTTCCTATATTATCCAACCATGTATCCCTATGTAATATTATGTTTCTATCATTCATTTTTATGGTTCTCTCTCCCCTCACCACTACATGAAAAGTATATGCTATAGTTCTATTATATAGAAGAGACTGATATATTTTATGATTCTCTCCCCCCTCACCACTACATGAAAGCTATATGCTATAGCTCTAGCATACAGAAGACTGATATAAATATATTAGTATAAATATATACCAAATCAATTTTTTGGTCAACTTCCTCTCAGAGCCCATATCCATACTCTGGAGTAGTTTCTGTGCACTGTCTTTCTCTTAACTCTCTCACTTAATTCTATATTAAAATATCTTAATTAAGGGGCTGGAGAGATGGCTCAGCAGTTAAGAACACTGACTGTTCTTGCAGAAGACCCGAGTTCAAATCCCAGCACCCACATAGCAGCTAACAACTGTCAGTAACTCCAGTTCCAGGAGATCCGACAGCCTCTTCTGTTCTCCGCAGGCACTGGACAACACGGGTGCACTTACCTACATGCAGAACTCCAGTTATCCGACAGCCTCTTCTGTTCTCCGCAGGCACTGGACAACACGGGTGCACTTACCTACATGCAGGCATAACACTCATACACACAAAATAAGAATAAAAAAAAATCTTAATTAAATCTTTAATCTCTTCAAAAAAAAAGTTTTTGAAAAAGGCTCTGGTCCCTCAGCCACATTCTTATCCTCCATATTACACTGTTATAAAACATACTATACATGGTTATAAAACATTCATTTGGGGGCTGGGGAGATGACTCAGCAGTTAAGAACACTGACTGATCTTGCAGAAGACCCGGGTTCGAATCCCAGCACCCACATGGCCACTAACAACTGTCCATAACTCCAGTTCCAGGTGATCCAACAGTCTCCTGTTCTCCACAGGCATTGCAGGACACAGGTGCACTTACCTACATGCAGGCAATACACACACATAAAATAAAAATAATAAATTAGAGTAGGACATGGTGGCACACGCCTTTAATCCCAGCACTTGGGAGGCAGAGGCAGGCAGATCTCTGAGTTCAAGGCCAGCCTGGTCTACATAGTTCCAGGACAGCTGAGGCTACAGGGAGACCCTGTCTCAAAAAGACCAAAAAATAATAATAATTAATTATTAAAAATAAGACATACATGTAAAAAAAAAAAACAAAAGTTCAATCTTTAATGAGAAGACCACAAAAGATGAACAAAACTGATCAGGTATATTTGAAATGAAACTCACTCCTACATTGTATTGCACTCAGAAAAGTCAATTCTAGGTAGGTTGGATATCTAAATATAAAAGTAAGATAATGAAATTTCTCGAAGATAATATAAAGGAATGTCTCTATGACCACAGAACAGGGAAAGAGCTTTTTGAACAAGATATAAAAAACTACAAAGGGAAGATACTAAACTGTACTACATTGAAAGTAAGCTATTCACTAAAAGAGATCTCAAAAGAATGAAATGGAAATCCATAGAATGGAAAAGATATTTGCAATGCATGTGGCTGATCAAGGGCTTACATCTAGACTGCATAAAGAACTCATAACTCCATAGAAAAAGGCAGAAGATTCAACAGAGCATAGGCAAGAAATCTGAACTGGTACTTCACAGAAGAAAATAACCAAGTGGCCATTAAACAAAAATATATGAAATGCTGTTTAGTATCTTCAGTAATGAGAAGAAATATAAATTAAAACAAAAAAGAGATACCAGGCTGGCCTTGAACTCATAGATACACCTACCTCTGCCTCCTAAGTGCTAGGATTAAAGGCGTGCACCACAACAACAAGCTCAGACTCTATATATTTTATGTAGTATTTACATATTTAACTATAATTAAATCTAGATTCTGCAGAGGAGAGAAATCATGTCAAGCCTGTCTATTTGTTTTGAGGGTTTTTTTGTTTGTTTATTTTTAAGACAGGGTCTTGCTATATAGCCCTAGATAGCCTAGAACTCATTTTGTAGACCAGGCTGACCTTTAACTCACAGAGATTCACCTGCTTGTGCCTCCTGACTTAAGTTAGGATTACAGGCATGAGCCACCATACCCAGCCTACTATTTTTGTTTTTGAGACAAGGTCTTCATACATACCACAGGCTAACCTGGAATTTCCTATGGAGCCCAATTTGCCCTTGATCTTACTATTTGGTCAAGGTTAGTACTCAACACATAAAATAAAAATAATAATTAAAATATTTTTAAATATTTTTAAAAAAAGAAAAGGGGAAATTAAAAAAGAATAAGAACAGGGGGCTGGGAATGCCTCCGGACCGGCCCTGCCCTCACCTCTCTCTGCTCCCCCGGACCTGCACCACCTGCTAACTCTCCTGGCCTTCTACCCTATCCACAGGCCTCTAGGGGTAGGTCCATCGCGTAGCCTTCCCCGCATTGACTCCCCCGGCCTCATTAGCCCTTCCATCTCCACCGCTGTTCTCTGCTCCTGGTTTGGGCCCTGCGCCATTCCTGGTCTTGGGTCCCTAGACACCTGGGGAACTGGTGCTGCTTCTTGATCGTTTT